GTGCCGACAGAACCTTACTGATCCAGCTCTTATAGAGCCAGTCCTCCAGAGCGTCCACCAGCAGCCTGTACACACACACACACACACACACACAAGCTTCAGTGCCGACAGAACCTTACTGATCCAGCTCTTATAGAGCCAGTCCTCCAGAGCGTCCACCAGCAGCCTGTACACACACACACACACACACACACACACAAGCTTCAGTGCCGACAGAACCTTACTGATCCAGCTCTTATAGAGCCAGTCCTCCAGAGCGTCCACCAGCAGCCTGTACACACACACACACACACACACACACACAAGCTTCAGTGCCGACAGAACCTTACTGATCCAGCTCTTATAGAGCCAGTCCTCCAGAGCGTCCACCAGCAGCCTGTACACACACACACACACACTAAGCTTCAGTGCCGACAGAACCTTACTGATCCAGCTCTTATAGAGCCAGTCCTCCAGAGCGTCCACCAGCAGCCTGTATACACACACACACACACACACTAAGCTTCAGTGCCGACAGAACCTTACTGATCCAGCTCTTATAGAGCCAGTCCTCCAGAGCGTCCACCAGCAGCCTGTACACACACACACACACACACACACACACACAAGCTTCAGTGCCGACAGAACCTTACTGATCCAGCTCTTATAGAGCCAGTCCTCCAGAGCGTCCACCAGCAGCCTGTACACACACACACACGCACAAGCTTCAGTGCCGACAGAACCTTACTGATCCAGCTCTTATAGAGCCAGTCCTCCAGAGCGTCCACCAGCAGCCTGTACACACACACACACACACACACACACACACAAGCTTCAGTGCCGACAGAACCTTACTGATCCAGCTCTTATAGAGCCAGTCCTCCAGAGCGTCCACCAGCAGCCTGTACACACACACACACACACACACACACACACAAGCTTCAGTGCCGAAAAGAACCTTACTGATCCAGCTCTTATAGAGCCAGTCCTCCAGAGCGTCCACCAGCAGCCTGTACACACACACACACACACACAAACTTCAGTGCCGACAGAACCTTACTGATCCAGCTATTATAGAGCCAGTCCTCCAGAGCGTCCACCAGCAGCCTGTACACACACACACACACTAAGCTTCAGTGCCGACAGAACCTTACTGATCCAGCTCTTATAGAGCCAGTCCTCCAGAGCGTCCACCAGCAGCCTGTACACACACACACACACACACACACACACTAAGCTTCAGTGCCGACAGAACCTTACTGATCCAGCTCTTATAGAGCCAGTCCTCCAGAGCGTCCACCAGCAGCCTGTACACACACACACACACACACATAAGCTTCAGTGCCGACAGAACCTTACTGATCCAGCTCTTATAGACCCAGTCCTCCAGAGCGTCCACCAGCAGCCTGTACACACACACACACACACACACACACACTAAGCTTCAGTGCCGACAGAACCTTACTGATCCAGCTCTTATAGAGCCAGTCCTCCAGAGTGTCCACCAGCAGCCTGTACACACACACACACACACACACACACAAGCTTCAGTGCCGACAGAACCTTACTGATCCAGCTCTTATAGAGCCAGTCCTCCAGAGTGTCCACCAGCAGCCTGTACACACACACACACACACACACACAAGCTTCAGTGCCGACAGAACCTTACTGATCCAGCTCTTATAGAGCCAGTCCTCCAGATTGTCCACCAGCAGCCTGTACACACACACACACACACACACACACACTAAGCTTCAGTGCCGACAGAACCTTACTGATCCAGCTCTTATAGAGCCAGTCCTCCAGAGCGTCCACCAGCAGCCTGTACACACACACACACACACACATAAGCTTCAGTGCCGACAGAACCTTACTGATCCAGCTCTTATAGACCCAGTCCTCCAGAGCGTCCACCAGCAGCCTGTACACACACACACACTAAGCTTCAGTGCCGACAGAACCTTACTGATCCAGCTCTTATAGAGCCAGTCCTCCAGAGCGTCCACCAGCAGCCTGTACACACACACACACACACACACACACTCAGCTTCAGTGCCGACAGAACCTTACTGATCCAGCTCTTATAGAGCCAGTCCTCCAGAGTGTCCACCAGCAGCCTGTACACACACACACACACACACACACACACACACAAGCTTCAGTGCCGACAGAACCTTACTGATCCAGCTCTTATAGAGCCAGTCCTCCAGAGCGTCCACCAGCAGCCTGTACACACACACACACACACACACACACACACATAGGCTTCAGTGCCGACAGAACCTTACTGATCCAGCTCTTATAGACCCAGTCCTCCAGAGCGTCCACCAGCAGCCTGTACACACACACACACACACACACACACACACACACTAAGCTTCAGTGCCGACAGAACCTTACTGATCCAGCTCTTATAGAGCCAGTCCTCCAGAGCGTCCACCAGCAGCCTGTACACACACACACACACACACACACACACACTAAGCTTCAGTGCTGACAGAACCTTACTGATCCAGCTCTTATAGAGCCAGTCCTCCAGAGCGTCCACCAGCAGCCTGTACACACACACACACACACACACACACAAGCTTCAGTGCCGACAGAACCTTACTGATCCAGCTCTTATAGAGCCAGTCCTCCAGAGCGTCCACCAGCAGCCTGTACACAAACACACACACACACACTAAGCTTCAGTGCCGACAGAACCTTACTGATCAAGCTCTTATAGACCCAGTCCTCCAGAGCGTCCACCAGCAGCCTGTACACACACACACACACACACACACACACAAGCTTCAGTGCCGACAGAACCTTACTGATCCAGCTCTTATAGAGCCAGTCCTCCAGAGCGTCCACCAGCAGCCTGTACACACACACACACACACACACACACACACAAGCTTCAGTGCCGACAGAACCTTACTGATCCAGCTCTTATAGAGCCAGTCCTCCAGAGCGTCCACCAGCAGCCTGTACACACACACACACACACACACACACACACTAAGCTTCAGTGCCGACAGAACCTTACTGATCCAGCTCTTATAGAGCCAGTCCTCCAGAGCGTCCACCAGCAGCCTGTACACACACACACACACACACACTAAGCTTCAGTGCCGACAGAACCTTACTGATCCAGCTCTTATAGAGCCAGTCCTCCAGAGCGTCCACCAGCAGCCTGTACACACACACACACACACACACACACACACAAGCTTCAGTGCCGACAGAACCTTACTGATCCAGCTCTTATAGACCCAGTCCTCCAGAGCGTCCACCAGCAGCCTGTACACACACACACACACACTAAGCTTAAGTGCCGACAGAACCTTACTGATCCAGCTCTTATAGAGCCAGTCCTCCAGAGTGTCCACCAGCAGCCTGTACACACACACACACACACACGCACACACACAAGCTTCAGTGCCGACAGAACCTTACTGATCCAGCTCTTATAGAGCCAGTCCTCCAGAGTGTCCACCAGCAGCCTGTACACACACACACACACACACACACACACACAAGCTTCAGTGCCGACAGAACCTTACTGATCCAGCTCTTATAGAGCCAGTCCTCCAGAGCGTCCACCAGCAGCCTGTACACACACACACACACACACACATAAGCTTCAGTGCCGACAGAACCTAACTGATCCAACTCTTATAGACCCAGTCCTCCAGAGTGTCCACCAGCAGCCTGTACACACACACACACACACACACACACACTAAGCTTCAGTGCCGACAGAACCTTACTGATCCAGCTCTTATAGAGCCAGTCCTCCAGAGCGTCCACCAGCAGCCTGTACACACACACACACACACACACACACACACTAAGCTTCAGTGCCGACAGAACCTTACTGATCCAGCTCTTATAGAGCCAGTCCTCCAGAGCGTCCACCAGCAGCCTGTACACACACACACACACACACACACACACACAAGCTTCAGTGCCGACAGAACCTTACTGATCCAGCTCTTATAGAGCCAGTCCTTCAGAGCGTCCACCAGCAGCCTGTACACACACAAACACACACACACACACACACACACACATAAGCTTCAGTGCCGACAGAACCTTACTGATCCAGCTCTTATAGACCCAGTCCATACACACACACACTTTTGACTCTCTCTTTTCCAGCATTTTAGACACCGCTGCTCCTTTGGGCTTAAAGAAGATTAAAGAAAATAGTCCAACGCTGTTGTACAACGAGCACACTCGAAAAATGGAGAGCAACTGGAAAAAAACAAAACTAGAGGTTTTTCGCATTTCGTGGAAAGACGAATTATTATGGCATACAGAAAAGCCTTTAACACTGCTTATTTTTCGACCCTCTTAGAAGAAAATAAACACAACCCTAGGTATTTATTTGAAACAGTGGCTAAATCAACAAGAAATAGAGCTTCAACCCCAGACGTTTCCAAGCAGCACAGCAGTAATGACTTTATGAACTTCTTTACTTGCAAGATAATTTTAGAGAGAAAATTTTAGAGAGAAAACTATGCAACCGTCTACAAGAGTATCACATCAGATGATTGTCAGTGCATTGTAGTCTCCCCGACGAAAAAATTGATTCATTCATTGCTATAGGAGCGGAAGAATTGTCTAAACTCGTTAAATCATCTAAATCGACAACATGTTTGTTAGACCCTATACCGACTAAGCTAATGAAAGAGATGCTTCCAGAGGTCATAGATCCTCTTCTTTAAAATCATTATTTCATCTTTGTCATTGGGACACACACACACACACACACACACTAGTCCACCAGCAACCTGCACACACACACACACACACACTCACAGACACACACACACACTCACAGACATACCAGAGGCAACATGACGATTACCAAAATATGTGATGGGAAAAAAGGCAACAAATAAAGCGCCTAAATGTCCCGCAGCCGGCACACTAACAGTTAACAGGCTACAGCTTGATAATTCATTCAGTACAGTAAAAAGTGCTAAACCGTAGCTAATGTAGTGTGTGTGTGTGTGTGTGTGTTCCCGCACCAGTACAGCTGCTGAGCGATACGGATACAGCGCAGGGATCTGGAGAGTAGCAGCGTCACCAGCGGCCCGTCAGAGTCCCACTCCATCTTCAGAGCCTGAGGAAAACATACATCAGGATTCACAACATCAACACTGATTAGCACCTGAGGGTCAGCATGAGGGTCAGCGTGAGGGTCAGCATGAGGGTCAGCGTGAGGGAATGAGGGTCAGCGTGAGAGACTGAGGGTCGGTGTGAGGGTCAACCTGAGGGACTGAGGGTCAGCGTGAGGGACTGAGGGTGAGGGACTTGGGTTCAGCATGAGGGACTGAGGGTCAGCGTGAGGGTCAGCGTGAGGGACTGAGGGTCAGCGTGAGGGACTGAGGGTCAGCGTGAGGGACTGAGGGTCAGCATGAGGGACTAAGAGTCAGCGTGAGGGAATGAGGGTCAGCATGAGGGTCAACCTGAGGGACTGAGGGTCAGCGTGAGGGACTGAGGGTGAGGGACTTGGGTTCAGCATGAGGGACTGAGGGTCAGCGTGAGGGACTGAGGGTCAGCTTGAGGGACTGAGGGTCAGCCTGAGGGACTGAGGGTCAGCGTGAGGGACTGAGGGTCAGCCTGAGGGACTGAGGGTCAGCCTGAGGGACTGAGGGTCAGCGTGAGGGACTGAGGGTCAGCGTGAGGGACTGAGGGTCAGCCTGAGGGACTGAGGGTCAGCGTGAGGGACTGAGGTTCAGCGTGAGAGACTGAGGGTCAGTGTGAGGGTCAGCGTAAGGGACTGAGGGTCAGCCTGAGGGACTGAGGGTCAGTGTGAGGGACTGAGGGTCAGCCTGAGGGACTGAGGGTCAGCCTGAGGGACTGAGGGTCAGCCTGAGGGACTGAGGGTCAGCGTGAGGGTCAGTGTAAGGGACTGAGGGTCAGCGTGAGGGTCAGCGTGAGGGACTAAGGGTCAGCCTGAGGGACTGAGGGTCAGCGTGAGGGTCAGCGTAAGGGACTGAGGGTCAGCATGAGAGACTGAGGGTCAGCGTGAGGGTCAGCGTGAGGGACTGAGGGTCAGCATGAGGGACTAAGGGTCAGCCTGAGGGACTGAGGGTCAGCGTGAGGGACTGAGGGTCAGCGTGAGGGACTGAGGGTGAGGGACTTGGGTTCAGCATGAGGGACTGAGGTTCAGCATGAGGGACTGAGGTTCAGCGTGAGGGACTGAGGGTCAGCATGAGGAACTAAGAGTCAGCGTGAGGGAATGAGGGTCAGCATGAGGGTCAACCTGAGGGACTGAGGGTCAGCGTGAGGGACTGAGGGTGAGGGACTTGGGTTCAGCATGAGGGACTGAGGGTCAGCGTGAGGGACTGAGGGACTGAGGGTCAGCGTGAGGGACTGAGGGTCAGACTGAGGGACTGAGGGTCAACCTGAGGGACTGAGGGTCACCGTGAGGGACTGAGGGTCAGCGTGAGGGACTGAGGGTCAGCGTGAGAGACTGAGGGTCAGAGACTGAGGGTCAGCGTGAGAGACTGAGGGTCAGTGTGAGGGTCAGCGTAAGGGACTGAGGGTCAGCGTGAGAGACTGAGGGTCAGCGTGAGAGACTGAGGGTCAGCGTGAGGGTCAGCGTAAGGGACTGAGGGTCAGCCTGAGGGTCAGCGTGAGGGACTGAGGGTCAGCGTGAGGGTCAGTGTAAGGGACTGAGGGTCAGCGTGAGGGTCAGCGTGAGGGACTGAGGGTCAGCCTGAGGGACTGAGGGTCAGCGTGAGGGTCAGCGTAAGGGACTGAGGGTCAGCATGAGGGACTGAGGGTCAGCGTGAGGGACTGAGGGTCAGCATGAGGGACTAAGGGTCAGCATGAGGGTCAACCTGAAGGACTGAGGGTCAGCGTGAGGGACTGAGGGTGAGGGACTTGGGTTCAGCATGAGGGACTGAGGGTCAGCGTGAGGGTCAGCGTGAGGGACTGAGGGTCAGCGTGAGGGACTAAGGGTCAGCGTGAGGGAATGAGGGTCAGCATGAGGGTCAACCTGAGGGACTGAGGGTCAGCGTGAGGGTCAGCGTGAGGGTCAGCGTGAGGGACTGAGGGTCAGCATGAGGAACTGAAGGTCAGCATGAGGGTCAGTGTGAGGGACTGAAGGTCAGCGTGAGGGAATGAGGGTCAGCGTGAGGGACTGAGGGTCAGCGTGAGGGACTGAGGGTCAACGTGAGGGACTGAAGGTCAGCATGAGGGTCAGTGTGAGGGACTGAAGGTCAGCATGAGGGACTGAAGGTCAGCGTGAGGGAATGAGGGTGAGGGACTTGGGTTCAGCATGAGGGACTGAGGGTCAGCGTGAGGGTCAGCGTGAGGGACTGAGGGTCAGCGTGAGGGACTAAGGGTCAGCGTGAGGGAATGAGGGTCAGCATGAGGGTCAACCTGAGGGACTGAGGGTCAGCGTGAGGGTCAGCGTGAGGGACTGAGGGTCAGCATGAGGAACTGAAGGTCAGCATGAGGGTCAGTGTGAGGGACTGAAGGTCAGCGTGAGGGAATGAGGGTCAGCGTGAGGGACTGAGGGTCAACGTGAGGGACTGAAGGTCAGCATGAGGGTCAGTGTGAGGGACTGAAGGTCAGCATGAGGGACTGAAGGTCAGCGTGAGGGAATGAGGGTCAGCGTGAGGGTTAGCGTGAGGGTCAGCCTGAGGGAGTGAGGGTCAGCGTGAGGGAATGAGGGTAAGCGTGAGGGTCAGCGTGAGGGACTGAGGGTCAGCGTGAGGGAATAAGGGTCAGCGTGAGGGACTAAGGGACTGAGGGTCAGCCTGAGGGACTGAGGGTCAGCCTGAGGGACTGAGGGTCAGCGTGAGGGACTGAGGGTCAGCCTGAGGGACTGAGGGTCAGCCTGAGGGACTGAGGGTCAGCGTGTGGGACTAAGGGACTGAGGGACTGAGGGTCAGCATGAGGGACTGAGGGTCAGCGTGAGGGTCAGCCTGAGGGACTGAGGGTCAGCGTGAGGGACTGAGGGTCAGCGTGAGGGACTGAGGGTCAGCCTGAGGGTCAGCATGAGGGACTGAGGGTCAGCGTGAGGGACTAAGGGACTGAGGGACTGAGGGTCAGCGTGAGGGACTGAGGATCAGCGTGAGGGACTGAGGATCAGCGTGAGAGACTGAGGGTCAGCCTGAGGGACTGAGGGTCAGCGTGAGGGACTGAGGGTCAGCGTGAGGGACTGAGGGTCAGCCTGAGGGACTGAGGGTCAGCGTGAGGGACTAAGGGACTGAGGTTCAGCCTGAGGGACTGAGGGTTAGCGTGAGAGACTGAGGGTCAGTGTGAGAGACTGAGGGTCAACGTGAGAGACTGATGGTCAGTGTGAGGGACTGAGGGACTGAGGGTCAGCGTGAGGGACTGAGGGTCAGAGACTGAGGGTCAGCGTGAGGGACTGAGGGTCAGCGTGAGGGACTGAGGGTCAGCCTGAGGGACTGAGGGTCAGCGTGAGGGACTAAGGGACTGAGGGTCAGCCTGAGGGACTGAGGGTTAGCGTGAGAGACTGAGGGTCAGCGTGAGGGACTGAGGGTCAGCGTGAGGGACTGAGGGTCAGCCTGAGAGACTGAGGGACTGAGGGTCAGCGTGAGGGACTGAGGGTCAGCGTGAGGGACTGAGGGTCAGCGTGAGGGACTGAGGGTCAGCGTGAGGGACTGAGGGTCAGCGTGAGGGACTGAGGGACAGCGTGAGGGACTGAGGGTCAGCCTGAGGGACTGAGGGACTGAGGGTCAGCCTGAGGGACTGAGGGTCAGCCTGAGGGACTGAGGGTCAGCCTGAGGGACTGAGGGTCAGCGTGAGGGACTGAGGGTCAGCGTCAGGGACTGAGGGTCAGCGTGAGGGACTGAGGGTCAGCCTGAGGGACTGAGGGTCAGCCTGAGGGATTGAGGGTCAGCCTGAGGGATTGAGGGTCAGCCTGAGGGACTGAGGGTCAGCCTGAGGGACTGAGGGTCAGCCTGAGGGACTGAGGGTCAGCCTGAGGGACTGAGGGTCAGCGTGAGGGACTGAGGGTCAGCGTGAGGGACTAAGTCCACAGTCCCTGTGTGTGTGTGTAGATGTTTGTAAAGTGCTGTGTGTCTGTGTGTGTAGATGTTTGAAAAAGTGCTCTGTGTGTGTGTGTGTGTGTGTGTGTGTGTGTGTGTGTGTGTGTGTGTGTGTGCAGATGCTTGAAAAGTGCTGAGTGTGTGTGTGTGTGTGTGTGTGTGTGTGTGTGTGTGTGTGTGTGTGTGTGTGTGTGTGTGTGTGTGTGTGTGTGTGTGTGTGTGTTGAAAAGTTCTGTGTGTGTGTGTGCAGATGTTTGAAAAATGCTGTGTGTGTGCAGATGCGTCTCAGATGTATGTTTACAGGCGTGTGTGTGCGCGTCTCAGATGTGTGTGTGTGCGTCTCAGAAGTGCGTTTACAGGCGTGTGTGTGGCGTCTCAGATGTGTGTGTGTGCGTCTCAGAAGTGCTTTTACAGGCGTGTGTGTGCATCTCAGATGTGTGTTTACAGGCGTGTGTGTGTGTGCGTCTCAGATGTGTGTTTACAGGCGTGTGTGTCTCACCTGCACCAGTTGTGGCAGAAACTCCTCCAGTTGACTGTCACACATCTGCTGGAAATGCTGCACAGCCACTGAACGCACGAACTGGTCATGAAACCTGAAAGATCACCACATCACACTCACACTAAACCCGTCAGAAGAACAGCAGGAACACAGGAAAGCTGCTGTAGAGTCTCTCTGTGTGTGTGTGTGTGTGTGTGTGTGTGTGTGTGTGTGTGTGTGTGTGTGTGTGTGTGTGTGTGTGTGTGTGTGTGTGTCCTGATGAGCAACTACAGACAATCAACTGTATAGGTAAGATAAGACTGTATTGATAAGTTGATAACTCCACTGTACTGATAAATCACACAACAGGATCTGAAAAACCAATCACTCCATGTCAGAAACACAGCTTTACAGTTCAAATAATACAGATTTTGATGAAAACAAAACCAGTTTTATAAAATAACAAACCTCATATTTTAGCTAATTTATCATAAGTCCAAATGATAAATTATTGTATTTATATATACACACACACTGAACAAAATTATAAACGCAACACTTTTGTTTTTGCCCCCATTTTTCATGAGCTTTCTATGTACAAAAAAGGCCTATTTCTCTCAAATATTGTTCACAAATCTGTCTAAATCTAGACAGATGCACTTTTATGATGGATAGATGGATAGATGTACTTTTATCATAGATGGATTCACTTTCATCATAGATGGATTCACTTTCATCATAGATGGATTCACTTTCATCATGGATAGATGCACTTGTATGATGGATGGATGCACTTGTCATACACACAATGTCATATACTGTACACCTAGGATGGCTTGAGGGTGAGTAAATCATGAGCTAAATTTCATTTTTGGGTGAACTAACCCTTTAAGAAATGATACTCTAACCCTTGTCTATTGAAGCTGTGACAGAAACGGCACGTACTCGTGGCTCAGGAGGAACAGGGCCTCCTCACAGCTGATGCCCCAGCGCTGCAGGATCCCGTAGATCTCGGGCTGGTCCTGCGGTCTCCACGTAGGAGCACTGCCCAACACCAGGTGTAGGAGTGAGTTCCTCGAGCTGCACACCTGCCGTCTGCTCCACAGGAACACCTTCTCGTTCTCAGTCAACCTGCGGGCGATCAACAGAGAGAGTGACATCAGTGTCCACATCAGTGTCCACATTACCCACAGGTTCAGGAGAGGGTTATCTTATACTGACAGCGACAGGCAGTGTTTCTGAGACACGTCTGCTATTCTCTTATGCAGCTCTTCACACGCAGGTTCACACGCAGGTCCACACGCAGGTCCACACGCAGGTTCACACGCAGGTTCACACGCAGGTTCACACGCAGGTCCACACGCAGCAGACTCGAGGACTGACCCGGGCCGTGCGGACGTTCGCTCGTATCGCCACTGTTCAGAGTCTGGGAAACCAAGCTTCACACACATAAAGGAGATTTCATTTATGAACTTAAGCCATAACAACATATACAATTATACTCTGGAATTAATCCCACAAAACATCTCAAGAGGAAGAAATGTGGTTGAATATGCTACATATACATATGTTCCCTCATTTGGAAGAAAACACACCTGTAAAACATCAATAGACCTTTTGTACCTTTAATGTAAACATCGCAAGCTATGCAGTGACACTGAAAACCAAAGTGACACGTTATCTTGAAATTAAATGCGCAAGTAAAAGCAAAAGAATTTGTCAGAAAAAGAACAGCTGAGATTAATGTGTAATCAGTTCAGTGAAGAGAGACAGGTGTGTATTGTACTGATGTTTCCAGGATTAGTTCATTACCAACACAGCCAATTATAACAGGGGTGCACACTCATGCAGTTAGGTTATTTTTCTTCTCTGAAACGTGTCACTTTGGTTTTCAGTATCACTGCATAGCTTGTGATGTTCACATTAAAGGTACAAAAGGTCTGATATGATTTATATTTGTTTCAGATTTTACATCACAAAAGCCAGATGTTTTACAGGGAAGACTTCTTATATGCCTGTAAATGTGATGCTGATGTTTCCAGAGCACGTGTGTGTGTGTGCGGTACTGATGTTTCCAGAGCACGTGTGTGTGTGTGTACGGTACTGATGTTTCCAGAGCACGTGTGTGTGTGTGTGCGGTACTGATGTTTCCAGAGCACGTGTGTGTGTGTGTACGGTACTGATGTTTCCAGAGCATGTGTGTGTGTACGGTACTGATGTTTGCAGAGCACGTGTGTGTGTACGGTACTGATGTTTGCAGAGCATGTGTGTGTGTACGGTACTGATGTTTGCAGAGCATGTGTGTGTGTACGGTGCTGATGTTTCCAGAGCACATGTGTGTATGGTACTGATGTTTGCAGAGCACGTGTGTGTGTACGGTACTGATGTTTCCAGAGCATGTGTGTGTGTACGGTACTGATATTTGCAGAGCACGTGTGTGTGTGTGGTACTGATGTTTCCAGAGCATGTGTGTGTGTACGGTACTGATGTTTCCAGAGCACGTGTGTGTGTGTACGGTACTGATGTTTCCAGAGCACGTGTGTGTGTACGGTACTGATGTTTCCAGAGCATGTGTGTGTGTACGGTACTGATATTTGCAGAGCATGTGTGTGTGTACGGTACTGATGTTTGCAGAGCATGTGTGTGTGTACGGTACTGATGTTTGCAGAGCATGTGTGTGTGTACGGTACTGATGTTTCCAGAGCACGTGTGTGTGTGTGTACGGTACTGATGTTTCCAGAGCATGTGTGTGTGTACGGTACTGATGTTTGCAGAGCACGTGTGTGTGTACGGTACTGATGTTTCCAGAGCATGCGTGTTTGTACGGTACTGATATTTGCAGAGCACGTGTGTGTGTGTGTGTGTGTGTGGTACTGATGTTTCCAGAGCATGTGTGTGTGTACGGTACTGATGTTTGCAGAGCACGTGTGTGTGTGTACGGTACTGATGTTTAAAGAGCATGTGTGTGTGTACGGTACTGATGTTTCCAGAGCACGTGTGTGTGTACGGTACTGATGTTTCCAGAGCATGTGTGTGTGTACGGTACTGATGTTTGCAGAGCACATGTGTGTGTGTGTACGGTACTGATGTTTGCAGAGCACGTGTGTGTGTGTACGGTACTGATGTTTCCAGAGCACGTTTGTGTGTGTGTACGGTACTGATGTTTCCAGAGCACGTTTGTGTGTGTGTACGGTACTGATGTTTCCAGAGCACGTTTGTGTGTGTGTGTACGGTACTGATGTTTCCAGAGCACGTGTGTGTGTGTGTGTACGGTACTGATGTTTCCAGAGCACGTTTGTGTGTGTGTACGGTACTGATGTTTCCAGAGCATGTGTGTGTGTACGGTACTGATGTTTGCAGAGCACGTTTGTGTGTGTGTAAGGCAAGGCAAGGCAAGTTTATTTATATAGCACATTTCATACACAATGGTAATTCAAAGTGCTTTACATAAAAAAATCAAAAGAAATAGGAATAATTAAAACAGTTAAGAATAAAGAGAATAAAATAGTCAAAAGAAATAAGAATAATTAAAACAGGTTAGAATAAAAAATAAAATAAAATACAGTACAAACAGTCGGACACAGTGGCACAGTGCTCATTCAGTAAATGCATAGCTAAACAGATGTGTCTTGAGTCTGGATTTGAATGTGACTACTGTAGGAGCACATCTGATCTCCTCTGGAAGCTGGTTCCAGCTACGGCTGGCATAGTAGCTAAAAGCAGACTCTCCTTGCTTAGAGCGAACCCTTGGTATTTCTAGCTGATGTGATCCTAATGATCTGAGTGATCTGTTGGGTTTATATTCAGTGAGCATATCTGCAATGTATTTAGGTCCTAGGCCATTAAATGATTTATATACCAGTAATAATACTTTAAAATCAATCCTAAATGTAACTGGGAGCCAGTGTAAAGCCCTGAGGACTGGTGTGATGTGTTCATATTTTCTGGTTCTGCTCAGCATCCTGGCAGCAGCGTTCTGTATGAGCTGCAACTGTCTTATGGTCTTTTTGGGAAGGCCAGTGAGGAGTCCATTACAATAATCCACCCTGCTGGTGATAAAAGCATGCACAAGTTTCTCTAAGTCTTGACTGGAAACAAAGCATCTAATTCTTGCAATATTTTTCAGATGATAGTATGCTGATTTAGTTATTGATTTGACATGACTACTGAAACTAAGGTCTGATTCTAGAGACACACCCAGATTCCTCACTTGATTTTTTGTAGTTAGACCCCTAGCGTCAAGGTATGCATTCACCTTGAGAACTTCATCTTTGTTGCCAAACGCAATGACTTCAGTTTTGTCTTTGTTTAACTGAAGAAAGTTTTGGCACATCCAATTGTTTACTTCCTCAATGCATTGGCACAGGGAGTCAATGGGGCTGTAATCGTTAGGCGATAGGGATAAGTAGATCTGTGTGTCGTCTGCATAGCTGTGGTAAGAGATTTGGTTCTTTCTCATTATTTGGCTCATTGGGAGCATGTACAGGTTGAATAGGAGTGGCGCAAGAATTGAGCCTTGAGGGACTCCGCATGTCATGCATGTCCACTCAGACTTATGGTCTTCTATACTCACATAATAACCTCTCCCTTCTAAGTATGACCTGAACCATTTTAGGACTATCCCAGAAAGCCCCACCCAGTTTTCCAGCCTGTCAAGAAGTATGTCGTGATCGACAGTGTCAAATGCAGCACTGAGGTCGAGTAGTACCAGCACTGATAATTTGCCTTTATCAGTATTTAAGCGAATATCATTTATTATCTTTATGAGCGCTGTCTCTGTGCTGTGATGCGATCTGAAACCAGATTGAAAATTGTCAAAGTATCCATTCGAGATTAAGAATTTGTTCAGCTGATTGAAGACAACTTTTTCAATGATCTTGCCTATGAAAGGAAGATTTGAGATCGGTCTATAGTTGCTTAATATGGTCTTATCCAGATTGATCTTTTTCAGGAGGGGCTTGACAACTGCAGTTTTCAGGGAGTTTGGAAAATTCCCAGAGAGAAGTGAGGCATTTACCACTTCTAGGAGATCTGCTTCTAAACAGTTTAACACACTTTTGAAGAAAGATGTGGGAAGTGCGTCAAGGGCGCAGGTTGATGTTTTAAGGTGCTGTACGGTTTCTTCGAAAATTTTGCCATCAATTTCTTCAAAATCAGCCATAGTAGCTGCTTTCTCAGGTAGTGGTCTGATCTGTCTGACCCCAGCGCAACTCAATGATGTGCTGATCACCTTTCTGATATTATTGATTTTCCCAGAGAAGAAAGAAGCAAACTCACTGCACTTGCCGTCTGAGAGCATTTCACTGGGAATCTGGCTTGGGGGGTTTGTCAGTCTCTCTACAGTAGCAAAAAGAGTGCGTGTGTTGTTTAAGTTGCTGTTTATAATATTTGAGAAGAAAGTCTGTCTAGCTTTGCCTAGTTCCATATTGAAAGCATGGATGGTGTCTTTGTAGATGTTATAATGGACAACAAGTTTTGTCTTCCGCCACATGCGCTCTGCTCTTCTGCATTGTCTTTGCATATTTTGCACTGCTGTTGAGTTTCTCCAAGGTGCTTTTTGTCTACCACTCTTCCTGACTTTCACAGGAGCAATATAATCTATTACACCTTTAACACCTGTGTGTACGGTACTGATGTTTCCAGAGCACGTGTGTGTGTATAGTACTGATGTTTGCACAGCACGTGTGTGTGTACGGTACTGATGTTTCCAGAGCACGTGTGTGTGTGTGTACGATACTGATGTTTGCAGAGCACGTGTGTGTGTACGGTACTGATGTTTGCAGAGCATGTGTGTGTGTACGGTACTGATGTTTGCAGAGCATGTGTGTGTGTACGGTTTCCAGAGCACGTGTGTGTGTATGGTACTGATGTTTGCAGAGCACTTGTGTGTGTACGGTACTGATGTTTCCAGAGCACGTGTGTGTGTACGGTACTGATGTTTCTAGAGCACGTGCGTGTGTGTACGGTACTGATGTTTCCAGAGCACACGTGTGTGTGTGCGGTACTGATGTTTCCAGAGCACATGTGTGTGTGTACGGTACTGATGTTTCCAGAGCACACGAGTGTGTGTGTGTGTGTGTGTGTGTGTGTGTGTACGGTACTGATGTTTCCAGAGCACGTGTGTGTGTGTACGGTACTGATGCTTCCAGAGCACACGAGTGTGTGTGTGTGTGTGTTTGTGTGTGTGTGTACGGTACTGATGTTTCCAGAGCACGTGTGTGTGTGTACGGTACTGATGCTTCCAGAGCACATGTGTGTGTGTGTGTGTGTGTGTGTATGGTAATGATGTTTCCAGAGCACGTGTGTGTGTACGGTACTGATGTTTGCAGAGCACGTGTGTGTGTGTGTACGGTACTGATGTTTCCAGAGCATGTGTGTGTGTACGGTACTGATGTTTGCAGAGCATGTGTGTGTGTACGGTACTGATGTTTCCAGAGCACATGTGTGTGTCTGGTACTGATGTTTCCAGAGCACGTGTGTGTGTGTGTACGGTACTGATGTTTGCAGAGCACGTGTGTGTGTGTGTGTGTGTGTGTGTGTGTGTGTGTGTGTGTGTGTACGGAACTGATGTTTGCAGAGCACGTGTGTGTGTGTGTACGGTACTGATGTTTCCAGAGCACATGTGTGTGTGTACGGTACTGATGTTTCCAGAGCACACGAGTGTGTGTGTGTGTGTGTGTGTGTGTGTGTGTGTGTGTACGGAACTGATGTTTGCAGAGCACGTGTGTGTGTGTGTACGGTACTGATGTTTCCAGACCATGTTTGTGTGTGTGTACGGTACTGATGTTTCCAGAGCAAATGTGTGTGTGTGTGTACGGTACTGATGTTTCCAAAGCACGTGTGTGTGTGTACAGTACTGATGTTTGCAGAGCACGTGTGTGTGTGTGTGTACGGAACTGATGTTTCCAGAGCACGTGTGTGTGTGTGTGTGTGTACGGTACTGATGTTTCCAGAGCACGTGTGTGTGTGTGTGTGTGTGTACGATACTGATGTTTCCAGAGCACGTGTGTGTGTACGGTACTGTTGTTTCCAGAGCACCTGTGTGTGTGTGTACGGTACTGATGTTTCAAGAGCACGTGTGTGTGTGTACGGTACTGATGTTTCCAGAGCACATGTATGTGTGTATGGTACTGATGTTTCCAGAGCACATGTGTGTGTGTACAGTACTGATGTTTCCAGAGCACGTGTGTGTATGGTACTGATGTTTCCAGAGCATGTGTGTGTGTGTGTGTACGGTACTGATGTTTCCAGAGCACGGGTGTGTGTGTACGGTACTGATGTTTCCAGAGCACATGTGTGTGTGTACGGTACTGATGTTTCCAGAGCACACGAGTGTGTGTGTGTGTGTGTGTGTACGGTACTGATGTTTCCAGAGCACATGTGTGTACGGTACTGATGTTTCCAGAGCACGTGTGTGTACGGTACTGATGTTTCCAGAGCATGTGTGTGTGTGTGTACGGTACTGATGTTTCCAGAGCACGTGTGTGTGTGTACGGTAGTGATGTTTCCAGAGCACGTGTGTGTGTGACTACGGCACTGATGTTTCCAGAGCACACGTGTGTGTGTGTGTGTGCGGTACTGATGTTTCCAGAGCACATGTGTGTGTGTGCGGTACTGATGTTTCCAGAGCACATGTGTGTGTGTACGGTACTGATGTTTCCAGAGCACAAGTGTGTGTGTGTGTGTGTGTGTATGGTACTGATGTTTCCAGAGCACGTGTGTGTGTGTACGGTATTGATGTTTGCAGAGCACATGTGTGTGTACGGTACTGATGTTTGCAGAGCACGTGTGTGTGTGTACGGTACTGATGTTTCCAGAGCACGTGTGTGTGTACGGTACTGATGTTTCCAGAGCACGTGTGTGTGTGTGTATGGTACTGATGTTTGCAGAGCACGTGTGTGTGTACGGTACTGATGTTTCCAGAGCATGTGTGTGTGTACGGTACTGATGTTTGCAGAGCACGTGTGTGTGTGTGTGTGTGTGTGTACGGTACTGATGTTTCCAGAGCATGTGTGTGTGTACGGTACTGATGTTTGCAGAGCGTGTGTGTGTGTACGGTACTGATGTTTCCAGAGCACGTGTGTGTGTATGGTACTGATGTTTCCAGAGCACGTGTGTGTGTATGGTACTGATGTTTCCAGAGCACGTGTGTGTGTGTGTACGGTACTGATGTTTGCAGAGCACATGTGTGTGTGTACGGTACTGATGTTTCCAGACCACGTTTGTGTGTGTGTACGGTACTGATGTTTGCAGAGCACGTGTGTGTGTGTACGGTACGGATGTTTGCAGAGCATGTGTGTGTGTACGGTTTCCAGAGCACGTGTGTGTGTATGGTACTGATGTTTGCAGAGCACGTGTGTGTGTACGGTATTGATGTTTCCAGAGCACGTGTGTGTGTACGGTACTGATGTTTCCAGAGCACGTGTGTGTGTGTACGGTACTGATGTTTCCAGAGCACACGTGTGTGTGTGCGGTACTGATGATTCCAGAGCACATGTGTGTGTGTACGGTACTGATGTTTCCAGAGCACACGAGTGTGTGTGTGTGTGTGTGTGTGTGTATGGCACTGATGTTTCCAGAGCACGTGTGTGTGTGTACGGTACTGATGTTTGCAGAGCACGTGTGTGTGTGTGTACGGTACTGATGTTTGCAGAGCACGTGTGTGTGTGTACGGTACTGATGTTTCCAGAGCACGTGTGTGTACGGTACTGATGTTTCCAGAGCACGTGTGTGTGTGTGTGTATGGTACTGATGTTTGCAGAGCACGTTTGTGTGTACGGTACTGATGTTTCCAGAGCATGTGTGTGTGTACGGTACTGATGTTTGCAGAGCACGTGTGTGTGTGTGTGTGTGTGTGTACGGTACTGATGTTTCCAGAGCATGTGTGTGTGTACGGTACAGATGTTTCCAGAGCACGTGTGTGTGTATGGTACTGATGTTTCCAGAGCACGTGTGTGTACGGTACTGATGTTTCCAGAGCACGTGTGTGTGTGTACGGTACTGATGTTTCCAGAGCACGTGTGTGTACGGTACTGATGTTTCCAGAGCACGTGTGTGTGTGTGTGTATGGTACTGATGTTTGCAGAGCACGTGTGTGTGTACGGTACTGATGTTTCCAGAGCATGTGTGTGTGTACGGTACTGATGTTTGCAGAGCACGTGTGTGTGTGTGTGTGTGTGTGTGTACGGTACTGATGTTTCCAGAGCATGTGTGTGTGTACGGTACTGATGTTTCCAGAGCACGTGTGTGTGTATGGTACTGATGTTTCCAGAGCACGTGTGTGTACGGTACTGATGTTTCCAGAGCACGTGTGTGTGTGTGTGTACGGTACTGATGTTTGCAGAGCACGTGTGTGTGTGTGTACGGTACTGATGTTTCCAGACCGCACATGTGTGTGTACGGTACTGATGTTTCCAGAGCACGTGTGTGTGTACGGTACTGATGTTTCCAGAGCACGTGTGTGTGTATGGTGCTGATGTTTCCAGAGCACGTGTGTGTGTACGGTACTGATGTTTGCAGAGCACCTGTGTGCGTGTGTACGGTACTGATGTCTGCAGAGCACGTGTGTGTGTGTACGGTACTGATGTTTCCAGACCACGTTTGTGTGTGTGTACGGTACTGATGTTTCCAGAGCACATGTGTGTGTGTGTGTACGGTAGTGATGTTTCCAGAGCACGTGTGTGTGTGTACAGTACTGATGTTTGCAGAGCACGTGTGTGTGTGTGTGTACGGAACTGATGTTTCCAGAGCACGTGTGTGTGTGTGTGTATACGGTACTGATGTTTCCAGAGCACGTGTGTGTGTGTACGGTACTGATGTTTCCAGAGCACGTGTGTGTGTGTGTGTGTACGGCACTGATGTTTCCAGAGCACGTGTGTGTGTGTGTGTGTACGGTACTGATGTTTCCAGAGCACGTGTGTGTGTGTGTGTGTACGGTACTGTTGTTTCCAGAGCACATTTGCGTGTGTGTTCGGTACTGATGTTTCCAGAGCACGTGTGTGTGTGTACGGTACTGATGTTTCCAGAGCACATGTGTGTGTGTACAGTACTGATGTTTCCAGAGCACATGTGTGTGTGTGTGTGTGTACGGTACTGATGTTTCCAGAGCACGTGTGTACGGTACTGATGTTTCCAGAGCGTGTGTGTGTGTGTGTACGGTACTGATGTTTCCAGAGCACGTGTGTGTGTGTGTGTGTACGGTACTGATGTTTCCAGAGCACGTGTGTGTTTGACTACGGCACTGATGTTTCTAGAGCACACGTGTGTGTGTGTGTGTGTGTGTGTGTGCGGTACTGATGTTTCCAGAGCACATGTGTGTGTGTACGGTACTGATGTTTCCAGAGCACATGTGTGTGTGTACGGTACTGATGTTTTCCAGAGCACATGTGTGTGTGTACGGTACGGATGTTTCCAGAGCACGTGTGTGTGTACGGTACTGATGTTTCCAGAGCACGTGTGTGTGTGTGTGTGTGTGTGTACGGTACAGATGTTTCCAGAGCACGTGTGTGTGTGTACGGTACTGATGTTTCCAGAGCACATGTGTGTGTGTACGGTACGGATGTTTCCAGAGCACGTGTGTGTGTGTGTGTGTGTGTATGTGTGTGTGTGTACGGTACAGATGTTTCCAGAGCACGTGTGTGTGTGTACGGTACTGATGTTTCCAGAGCACATGTGTGTGTGTACGGTACAGATATTTCCAGAGCACGTGTGTGTGTGTGTGTGTGTGTGTGTGTGTGTGTGTGTGTGTGTGTGTGTGTGTACGATACGGTACGGTACGGACGAGCTGACCTGTAGAATGACCCCCGTGGGCTGCCGATGGCCGTGGGTCAGTGCTGATGACGGAGGACACCTGGGCGGCACCTGTGTGGACATGCTGAGCAGAACCGTGCCGTGAACCAGAGTCCTGCAACACACAACATCAATCACAGCAGCTCACAGAAACACGGCTCGAACCATGGCGGTCCAGAACCACAAATTCAGTAATTATGCAAAAAAGTATTAACAGCTAATTGTACTCTTACTGTCACTGACACAAATTACACAAGTACATCATGTTTACTAATGGGCTTTTACTGCAAAACAACACAAAACACGCAACAACTGTTTAAGAACAGCAGCATTTTCTGTCACTTTGGGACCCAAAAATAACTCCCACAAAAAACCTGGTGGGACAGATAATTGTTGACAAAATTCACTTTTATGATTGATATTTTGGTAAGTATATTGTTTATTTCTTGCTGCATTATTTGTTTACGTGCTATATTGTTGTTGACAATATGTTTGACTTGAAATCGTTTCATTATCATGCATCTTTCATTTTTGTTATAATTTATGAAATCTAAAATCCTCGTTGTCACCAAACAATTTCTTCTGTAGTTTCCGTGACAAGCACTGGAAAACTGTTCGAGTCAGCAGGAATGTGTGTTTGCGTTCGTGCACATGTGTGTGTAGAGCATCTGAGAAACAGCAGACAGATAGAAGACAACTAAGAGAAATCAGTGCTTTATGAAAGAGTGTTTGATGGCATACTTGTTGTTGAAGAGAGCAAGGGCCGCCCAGCAGAGAAGCTCAGGGTTTCTGGACTGTTTTGAGCCCAATAGATGAAAAGTCAACATTGATTCATATGGCAGCTCTCTAACTGGAACAGGAAACACCAATCTGAACACACAACAGAAACAGAAAGAACATCAGGGTGAAACACATATTTTACTCTGAAATGTCACAGTCACTCAGGGAGGGAGTTCACTACTAGATAACTGAATCATAGAACACGTATCCTGATGTTTTATTTATCCTAATAAATAATCGTACCATTAACTTGCTAACCATTTTGAGCATAATAAGAGTTTTCCAGCATGTAAACACCCAGAGTGTATCAATTAGTGAAGGTAGACATTAATTAAAACTCTTTCTGCCATTACTTTAAACAGGACCTGTTACGCCCTTTTACACAGTCTTGATGTTGTTTCAGGCTCTACTAGAACAGGTTTTCCTGCTTGAATGTTGATTATTCTCCTCATATTCTCCATTGTTGCGGCTCCTCTCTTCCCAGTCTGTCAGTAACGCTCTGTTTACTTCCTGTCTCTATGAAGCCCCTCCTCCTGAAAAGCACCTCCTGTGCTCTGATTGGTCGGCTGGAGCAGTGTGTTGTGATTGGTCGAGCGCTTCGAGTGTGTTTGGGAATGTCCCGCCCCTTTCCATAACCGCCAGTTTAACACACTACTAACTAACTCAACCAGGCCCCGCCCCTTTATTCTGCGTATGAATTATTATAATGAGGAATATTGTGACGTGTTCGTTCCCGGGAGAAACTCAAGACTACAATGGAGGCGTTTCAGGAGTTCAGAAACACTGACACTGATATAGAGGAGAACTGGAGCTTTCTCATGATCACACAGCAACATTACACACTGAAGAGAGATAAACATGGAGAAAAGCAGAATAGGTCTCTTTTCCTTTTAAACCCAATCCCAAAAATGGCAAACACAAACCAAAATAGGTATAGTTTATGACGCCTTTGATAACCTCGATAAAGCAAGCGTCCGGGTTCTTACAGGCGAATTCCTGCCGCAGTGTGTGAGCGCGCAGCGCACGCTGAAGTGATCGTAGCTGAAACACACACCACATCTCATTCAGTCATTCAGTCATCAATGTTCTCTGTGCATTAAAGAGACTGTTCACCCATAGAGCATCCTGTCATCAGTTACTCCTGCTAGCTGCCGATGCAGTGACGTTTCCAGAGCACATGTGTGTGTGTGTGTGTGTGTGTACGGTACTGATGTTTCCAGAACACGTGTGTGTACGTTAACTGTCATCAGTTACTCCTGCTAGCTGCCGATGCAGTGACGTTCATTAGCTAGTCACATTAGTTCATGCACGTATGCTAGTGCTGATTTAAAGTAAAGTGATGTTTTTAGTTTTATTCATTTCATTCAGTTGAGTTTCAGACACAAAGTATTTAAGCAGTGTTTGTAGTTTAATTAATGCAAGTAAATTAACACATGGCCCATTGTTGTTCCA